TTTCTGTTGAAAAAAAAAAAAAAAAAAAATTTAAGGCATACAGAAAAAAAAAGATATTGTAAAATAAAATAAGTCCGCCCATGGCAAATATCCCAGAAAAAAGTGGGAAAATTGAGGAAAAAAGAAGAGAGCTTGTTGCCAGGGCCAGGGGGTGGTAGCTGTGGTGTTTAACAGAAAACCTTTTCGAGAGAGAAAGAGTTTCTTTTCCTTCCTCAACCCTCTTTCAGAGAGATGGTCGAAGAGATAATTTTTTTCTGAGATCATCCTGAAAAGGGCAGTCAAGAAAAAAATAATCTTGGGATTTTAATTCATCAATCCAAGTATTTCCTCATTTTTTCCTCTTTTGCTGACTTTTGGAGCCCTTAGATAATCTTTCTTTTTATCATAAACCACCTGCATTTTCTGGTGCAATTCTTCTAGTTTTGAAGATTTTTGAATTCTATTCAGCTTCTGAAACAAAAGCAGCAACAAAGATTTCATTGACTGCCCTTTTGTCCCTACTTTCTGGTATATTTATTTGGCATATCTTTACATTTCACACCTTTTCTTTTTGTTTCCTTTTTATTTTTTGGATTTTTGATTGCTTGTGAATATTGTTATTCTCTGATCATCTTTTGACCTTAGAGTCTTTTATGTTTTGGCTTGTAAATTACTCTTACTTTTTGTGCAATTTGACTCCTTTTCAAGAATTAATAAAATTGCTAATTTTCGTTACTTCTGTCTTTGTATTTTCAGCTAAAGTTGATTCTTGGAAGTTTATCGACCCCGGTTTGTGCAGTTTTTGGTGAAAACGGAAGTGTCATAACCTAAATTTAGAAACACAGAAGATGAGAGACCCTGATATGGTCATTTGTGTGAAGCAGGCTGATATTTTTATTTTTTCATTTCAAGCTATATAGTTTGTAGTATATAGTTGTGTACATAAGCAAATAGCTGATTTTCTTTTCCTTGTACTTGTATAATTGTCCGAGTGATCTTCATCGCTCGGAGAGTCATTGCGTATAAGAAAACTGGCGATTTTGTGTGGCATTTTGTATAGAGTCCTGACTGGTGGCAGATATTATTACTGCCTCAACCACTGCTACACATGGTTCTGCTTGCAATGGGTGGTAGATGGAATGCTTGTGGATTTAAGTTATCATATCTGACACTTCTGATTATTCTTTATGATGTTCACGGAAGTAGCTCGCTCAATTCTGAAGGTAATTCTATGCTTGGACAGTGTTACTGGTTTAGCATTTCTGTGTTGGCTATTTCTAGTTCCTTTTGTCCATTTGATTGCTCTTCTTCGCTGACTATTGTTGATTTGAAAAACAAAGGACTGGCGTTGTTGGGATTCCGATCAAAAGTAGATTCTGATCCATATGGAGTTCTTGCAAACTGGAATCCTGATCACTGTGACCCATGCTTGTGGTCTGGTGTACAGTGTCTGGCAGGCAAAGTGCAAATTCTGTAAGTCCCTTGTTACATAAAATCAAGTCTATTAATGTGGATTTGATTTGATAAAATTAACTTACTCTATAAGTTTAATGTTCTGTTGCTAACAGGTCTGTCGATTTTTATTTTTTTTTTAAATATTACAAACAATATGCAAAAGTTGAACTCATTTGGTTTGACTTTCGTGATATCTCATTTTGTTAAATTTTTGTTTTTCCTCTCTGTTTAGGGATCTCCATGGACATTCTTTGGAAGGCACATTGGCACCAGAGCTTGGAAATCTCACTCACTTAAGATCAATGTAAGCTTTTAGCTATAAAAAAATGCTTTTTCTTTTCCAGCTCATAAATGTTAAATGCTTATTTAGACACAAGCATCTTGAAAAGGTGGTTAATGTTGATAGACTTTTATTTACTTATGCCATACTTGTATATGATAGCGGCTTCTATAAAGGGATAGGTATGCTGTCCCTAGTTTCATGGTTCAAGTTTAATTGTTTTCTTGAAAACAGTACATATTTTCTTACATTGTTGAAATAATCCTTTACCATGTTGGCTGTCAGTGGCTCATCATTTTAGTTAACATAGTTTCCGTTTTGTGTTTATATTATAAGTTTGCTGAACTGGTGAGATCAATGTAACACATTTGACAGCTGCACCCATGACCTTCCAGTGCTGATGTCAATGGTGGTGCCAAAATCCACCCTGCCATTTTGGGCAGCTACAACTTCTATTTTGTAATCCTTCCTCTGGACGGTTGTCTGGTGCAATGAGTCTGAGCACAAAATTATGAGGTTTGTAATGGTTCTATGAAGTCACCAAAGAATGTCGTGAAGATTCTCAAGTGTCGGAGGGTTCATAGTTGTAAGATTGGAAGATATCCCTCCATTGGATCCGGAGTTGATTTTTAAGAAGAGAATCAGCATTGTCTCAGAACAAAACGCTATCCTGAGATCATTTTATCCTTGAAAGTCTATATCAGTGTCCTTAATCCTTACCATTTAAACTTGTGCTAAATTGAAAAAGCAGCTCCACTATGAATGTAAAGTCATACTTATAATTCTCCAAGTGCATCTTAAACAGTAGCTGTTTTATTGATTTATAGCATCTTATGACTCACTTTTATTCTCTACACTTAAGCAGCAATAAAGCTAATTTCTCCACTTTTAGTTCCATAGACATATTTTCCTTCAGTTTAACAGGACAAACTGAGCGGAGGTAATCTTTACTATACGGCAATGGAGCTATATGCAAGTTCCTGGTCCCCTAATTTTCTCCTGTGCTGTCACCTTTGCATACTAAATCTTTCTACCTTCAACATAATACCTTACCTAGTGAATCTTTTGAATCAAAAGCAACATAAGGGTAGAAAGCCTTTGGTGGATACTTGGCTACAGATAACTCGAGATAGATTCACTTACCGGTGAAGAAAAAAAGGGAATATTTTGGAGTGACTGAAAGTACTATTGTAGTTTTTTTGAAGCTAATAGTGTTAGTATGGAGAACTGCTTACAGAGTTTTTTACTGGCCCTGAGCACAGCCATTTCATCACCTTATACAACTTTTATCGGCCCAGATCGGAATCCAACATATGCTTAGTATCACCACTAGATAATTTCAAATGATTTGTGTGGTATCGGTATTGTCAAAATCATAGATACATAGTTAAGTCACTAAGCACTTCATCCACACTCTTTGACACAATTTAAGTAAACTAGTAAGAATAATATGGATAATATAAGAAAATATATGAATAGGCTATCCGAGTAGAATTAATTGCATTTTGACTTGCAAAATTTAATAGTTGATTGAGAAGATGTTCCATTTAGAACAAAATAATTTGAATATAAGGTGATATTGCATCATCTTGGTCTGAATATTTTGAGATGGAAGCATATCATATGGGATAATGGTTGGTAATTGGAGGGACAAAAAGTAAGTAGATTGAGTAAATTGGGTGGAAGGGACAAAGGGAGGATTAGTTTGCATGTCTAGTAATCATAGTTTTCATCATCTTGCATACTATATTTTCCTATATGCTGTGCATGACTTCCTTTTGAATCTTAACAAATTTTCTTTTTGCTCTTTGATTATGTCACAGTGTCCTGTCAGAAAACCATTTTTTTGGTGTTATTCCAAAAGAATTTGGACGACTTAGAAGGCTGGAAGTGCTTGATTTGAGGGATAATAATTTGGGTGGGAGAATTCCAGCAGAAATAGGAGACCTGCAATCGCTAAGAAGCTTGTGAGTCATAATTTGTTTTTGTGCATGTAAAGAAACATGCTGCCTATATAAGTTTATGTATGTGATTATGCATGCGGCAGAACCATTAGAAAAATGCTCTTGAACTGTGTCTAACACATTTTCCCAGGTTGATTCACAACAATAACTTTGAAGGAAGCATGCCTTTGGAAATTGGGAAACTTCATTTGCTCTCTGTGTTGCAATTTGATGAAACAGTCATCTCTGCTGCCGCTGGAACAGGCTGTATAAACAGAAAATTTGGGCACTGGTAAGATTCTTTTGGTTACTTTGGAACTTTTCATTCATGTTATAGCGCTTACTACATTATGAAACCAAATATCAACAAGCAGAGATATCTGAAATGTATGAGCCATTTTAGGCTGAATTGATACTGTCAGAGTGCGCTCATACCTCCTGCAATAAACTTTGCTGGGCGGGAGTTGGGGTTGGGGTGAAGAAAAGTTGATAGTGTTGAGTACGAATGACACCGAGGGAAATAGTGGGTTTTGGCAATGAAAATAAAGCCTGGGAGCTGGGTGATCTCACAGATTTGGTGATACAAGGATTTCATTCTGCAACAACTTGTGCTGTGGTTTATGGCAATGTAAATAAAGCCTGGTAGCTCAGTGATTTCACATATGTGGTGATACAAGAATTTCGTGATACAATGACTTGTGCTTCTATGGTGGAAGATGTCGGATTTCTGTTAGCAGCAAATGGCATTTTTTCAGATGCAATTGATAGTGTTAATTATGAGTGACGCCAAGGGACATTGTGGTTAGACATAGACCCTGGGAGCTGAGTCCTTACTCGTTTCACAGATGTGGTGCTGCTAGGATTTAGTTTTGCAATAACTTGTACTGCTATGTCTGAAGCTGTCAGATCTGTTTAAGCTGCAGCAAACCGCAATTCTTCAGACTTATGAAGAAATGTGGCTTCAATCGTACAGGGAGACTGGTTAAGTCAAGCAACAATAAGGCTTAAAGCGGTTGCCAAGCGCAATGAAATGGAGCATTCCTTAACTTCATGACCTGTGTTTCGTGGTGAATCCTGATTCCTCAGCATTCTGTGCTTGCAATATATTCATTGTCTAATTTGACATTCAATAGTAATACATGGACCTTACATCAAGTTATAAGAAAAGGTTTGTAAACAGCAGGGAGGTGATTTGCCGGTAATTGCACCCATCTAAGGGCTAGGGTTGAGGATGAGGATGCAATAAATTGCATTTTTGTTAAGTAACTGGAGATTCTTGCTCTCAGTGCTTTGGATTTATCCTGCCATCAAGAGAGTACCATAAGCATGAAATTATCATAGTGGCTCTAATTCATTTGAAATTATTTAACAAGATACTCTCTCATCAGTTATCTCAGTTTTAGCTTTATCTATTTCATAGAATACTGACAACCAAAACTAATACTCCCTCCGTTTCAATTTAGGTGAGGTAGTTTGACTTGGCACCGAGTTTAAGGAAAAAAAAGACTTTTGAAACTTGTGGTCTTAAAAGCTTAAGAGGTAAAAGCTTTGTGGGGTCATGACATTTGTGTGGTTATAAAAGCTTCTCATTAAGGGTAAAATGAAGAGTTTAAAGTTGAATTATTTTCAATTGTAGAAATGTGTCATTCTTTTTGGAACGTACTAACTAGGAAAATGTGTCATCTAAATTGAAACAGAGGGAGTAGCATTATTTAAATTGTCAGATTTTTTGATCTACTAGTACTCGACTTCTCAATCAGATCTTTTCAGTTGCATGCTTCTCTCTGATAATTTGATAGCTGTTTCTGGCAGCATCTGGCATGGCAGTCTGAGGCCATTAAAGACTGTAAACTCCTTTGTCAGACCAATTAAGGGGACACTTATACGTTACCTCGGTTATCTAACACTGTAAGTAACTAGATAGTTTTTAATCGCCATTTGTTTCTACTCAAGTTTTATCACTCTAGAAGCATCTTTGTTTTAATGAAGGTTCTCCAGAGAACTTGGAAGGGGCTCATTGGATGATCAGACAGAGTACTCTGGCGACCTGCCAAGTGAGTGAAAAAGTTTACTACACATCTTTAGCAGGAATTTCAGAGAGAGTGCACAAAAGATTGTTTTCACTCTTCTTTTTAGCAGGTTCATCTAGGCCTCATATCATCCATACTGTAAAGAACCAAGCGAATGTTGCACGCCGTAAGTTAGTTGAACAATCCAGCAACCTTGCTGCTCTTCCTGCCAATGGTGGGAAACCTATGGGTCCTGTTGCGCCAGTGCCAAGCAGCAGAAGTAGTGGGTCATTTCGTGCTGTGCCAAGTACCCAAGGAACACCTCCATTACCCTTACCCTCCTCACGTCAGCAGCCTGAGTCTCAATACAAACCAATTCCAAAGGGACAGTCAAATAGTGCTGTTAAACAGCCAGCTAATAGACAAGTTCTGCCTGGCAGAAAATCTGGAAATACATGGAAGTATATAGTTGGGGTTTCTATTGGAGTTTTTCTGCTCGTTGCTGCTGCATTCGTGTTCTTAGTTTGGAGAAGCAGAGCTGCAAGAACAATAGGCCCTTGGAAGACTGGCTTGAGTGGACAGCTGCAAAAAGCATTTGTTACAGGTACTTCAATTAAACTTTGTGACAATAATTACTGTTAGTATTCTGTCCACATCCTGATATTCCGTGACAATTACCATTCGTTGACGCAGTCCTGACACTGGATGCCTATTACTTGTTTAATTTAAATATGGGATGTACTGGAGTTTACCCTTTTTGAAGAACTGGAGGACTGATATATTAGCCTAGTGTTTGGTATATATACCTTTTTCCCTATTTTTTTTGCTATGAGAAGGGCTTAGAATAAGGAACAAATTCCTTTATTTTCCAGAAGAAGCATTTGCCTAGAGGGATAATCTGACAAGTAAATTAAAGTTTTTATTGGCCCTGAATTTTAGAAAAGATAATGCTGGAGATTTTCTCCACTTTTGCTTCTTCTGAAAAGTGATTGTCTTTCTTTATTCATTTTCTTTGTCAAGTACAACTAGGGGTGGCAAATGGGCTGTTTGGCCTGTATTTGGATGGGCTGACTCATTAAATAGGTCATTGCCCAACCCTGCCCAAAGTTCACTTGGGTTAAGATGGGCCGAGTCGGGATGGGCTAAACAATGGGTTGTAACCAACCCGCCCAAATTGACCCAAATANACCCGCCCAAATTTACCCAAATCTTTCCAATATTCTCAACTTTTAAACAAGCATATATAAATATTATCTTATGTTTTTGAATAAATGTCAATTCATGCCAAATGATTTCTTTCCTCAATTTGGAGATGGAGAAGGTTGAAAAAGAGTTTTGGAAAATGTTTTTCCTTCTCTTGATACGGAAAATATTTTTCTCCAATTGAAGAAAAACGAATTCATAAAGAAAATATCTTTCAAACATTTAAACCAACCAAATATAGGAAAATTAGAAAATATTTTCCAGAACATGGGTCAAGGTAGAACTCTAAGATTGAGCATTTCCATGGGGCATCATCATGGGTTCATTTGGACCGATGATTTTTGATGGGTTAACTTGGGCTACCCCAAAACAGCCCATTTTGAAAATCGTTCTAGCCCAAACCCATTAAAACTTGGGCGGGTTGAGCGGGGTCAAATGGGTTTGGGTTAGTTTTGCCACCCCTAAGTACAACTCTAGCAAACATTCTTCTCTTCAGTCACAGCCATAAGAAGGCGTAATCCTGATATTGACTATCGTACTCTGTGTGAAAACAATTACAGGGGTCCCAAAGCTGAACAGGTTTGAGCTTGAAACAGCATGTGAGGATTTTAGCAATATTATTAGCAGTCATGATGCATATATAATCTACAAGGGAACTCTATCGAGTGGAGTAGAGATTGCTGTTGCCTCGACTACTCTAACTTCTCTGAAAGATTGGTCTGAAAGTTCAGAAATGGCCTTCAGGAAGAAGGTTTGTTGTTTCCGTTTATATCAAAATATAAATTATCTCTGCATATATCTCGCAGTCTGACACTTCCTATAGTGACATCCTTATTGTCTTTTCAGCTGTAAAACTTATATGATGTTTTCTCTTTGTGCTACTGAATAGATTGATACACTTTCAAGAGTGAACCACAAAAATTTTGTTAATCTTATTGGGTACTGTGAGGAGGATGAACCTTTCACTAGGATGATGGTCTTTGAGTATGCTCCAAATGGAACTCTTTCTGAGCATCTGCATGGTAAAAATCTTAGCTGTCCAAAGTTCAGTTTTAATTATTCATGATAATGGTTGATTTAGTTCAGAGTGATGCGAACTACAAGTTTCATTGTTTCAGTTAAAGAAGCCGATCCTCTTGACTGGCCTGCAAGGATGAGAGCTATAATGGGAACAGCATATGGTCTTCAGTACATGCATGATTTGAATCCTCCAGTGCCCCATTCCAACTTGAACTCAAATGCCATATTTTTGACTGACGATTATGCTGCTAAGGTCTGCGCGATCTTCATGAATATATATATATATATATATATATATATATAGTTTAAGTAATTTCCCTAATGTGTACATGTCCAGACGATTGTCACCAGAAAACTTTTTCTACCATATTCAACTGAGAGACCTTTTTCTTTTATATTTCATATTGATGTAATGAATTTTTATCTTTTGACAGATCACTGAGATTGGTTTCTGGTCAGAACTAATAGCCAAGTCAAAGTTCTCAAGTGATGATTTAGAAAATTCTGAGCTGCCACCACTTGCTGATCGTGAAACAAATATTTATAGTTTTGGGATTCTGTTACTAGAAGTAATTTCTGGAAAGTCACCTTATTCAGAAGAAAAAGAATCTCTTCTGAACTGGGTAAATCTCCATCTAATTCTCTTTCATATGCTTCCCTTATTTTCTTATTCTTGATCGTTATGAATTATGATGTGTTCCCTGGTGCACACTTTCTTGGTTGGAATTATGTGAAGTTTTTTTCTTTAAGACTTGTACCCACTGCAAGAATGACAACGGTTGTTTTGTTTAGGCGGCGCAATACCTTAAAGATAAGATGAATGTGAGCTCCTTGGTTGATCCAACACTGAAGTCCTTCAAGAATAATGAGCTTATGGTTATCTGTGAGGTAATAGAAGAATGCCTTCAAAAAAATACAATGAGGAGACCAACTATAAGCGAAGCAATTGCAAAATTAAGGGAAACAATTGATATATCGCCTGATGCTGCAGTTCCAAGGCTTTCTCCCCTCTGGTGGGCTGAACTCGAGCTCTTATCTTCTGAGGCAGCTTAGTCTCACTTGTTTGTTTACTTTGTAAGTTGAGAGTTGCTCTACTACTACATATGAATACACAAAATATAACTGGTTTTTCGTAAGACTCAAACCCTAATATGCCTCATATTTTTCTGTTTCCCCCCATTCCTCTGTATTCTGAAGAATTTTATTGGTTCATTCTTTCATTATTTTTCGTGCAGTTGTGCGTTCCCTTGGTTGGATATTCTATAGAGTTTTATGCCTTTCGTGATCAATAATCGGTTTGTACGAGCAATTTGAACAGGGTTTTCTGTGTTGTTTAAAATTTCATCTTCATTTTTCGAAGCAAAGAGATCTTATCTATTATCTCTTGATTTCCATGTCTTTTTCAAAGTTGCATCTCTCACTATATATATATATATATATATATATATATATATATATATGATTCTCTGGTTTAGTAATGTGCTTTTGGTTGTTTTAAAACTTGAAAATTGAATTATGTTTCTTTAGGCTTTTTACTTGCACAATCAGGGTTTCAAGAGGTGTTGATACTCTTAAACTGTGATTACGAGTATTCGTACGGTTGACGACCAATTTTGGCCCTCTGTTTTCTCAATTAATTTATTATGCTTCTCAGTTGATAATAATTTAAATAATTATATGCAATATATTTTTTCATGAATATTTAAAAAATTTAACAAAGTATATTTAAACTATTTTTAAATAATTATTTAAAATACTTATTGCATTTCTTATAGCTATAATTATGAATAATTTACTTATTGTCATGTTAGTAAAATGGATTTTGATAATTGTAGTTATATCACCATTATATCACAATTAATTAATTATTTGGCTATTGTTTCATATAATTATATATTTTAGATTATTAATTCTTTTAGAATTATAAAGTCTGTCCGTAGATACATACGCATATAGTAGATTATAAATTACAAAATAACATAACATAATTTATCATAATTATTAAAATTAGAAAAGTGGATTCAATTAATTATGATTCAAGAGGGGTTAAATTCGAAATTGGACCATTGTTGCAAAGATCAATTTTTTTCAAAAGGGCCAAATGTTAGATACAAATTTCAGCCAAAATAAAGGGGTTTTGGCATGGTATAACAACATACACATATAATTGGCAGAAAATAACCTTAGTTATAGATATTGGCATCAAATAGCCAATAAATATATATCACAATAATAATATGCATATCACAACTTTTTTTTTTCTTCTTTGTCTATATCAACATGTATATTAAAATTTTATTTTCATTCTTTGTATATAAATAATATTATTCTTTCTATTTCGATAATATAAAATTATATATATAGTTATTGCTGCCTTTATATCAATGTATATCACAATAAAAAAAATTATATTATTTGTATATCACAGTGTATAGCACATCAGACATGTATATACCAAAATAGATATCATAAGTTTATTTTTCTTCTTTGTGTATATCAAAAATTAATTTTCTTTCTATACCAAAATATTATTTACTACCGCAATTATATTTATTATTTTTATATTTTAGAACTTGCTTAAACATGATATATAAAAAAAAATTCCGCTTTTGATCAATAATTAATAATTATATTATTTGTATATCACAGCGTATAACATAATAATAATGTGTATATCAAAAGAATTTATTAAAAGTTTATTTTCCTTCTTTATATAACACATTTCAGATTGAAAACTCAAGTTCAAGACGACTCCACATGTGTATCCCCTATTGTAACCCGTGTATATCTCTATGTACATCAGTGATATCTCATGTATATTATGTGTGTCTGTGTATATCCATAAAAATATGTGTTATATATACGATATACAATGTGATATACATGGGCGTCCATAAAATAAATTATGTTGTATACACGATATACAAAGTGATATGCACAGACGTCCTTAAAAACTTGTGTGTGATATACACTGATGTACACGATATACAACGTGATATACACATGTCGCAGTTGGATTTTTAGGTCTGATTTTTTACCTGAAACCAGTCTAAATCACTTCTAATCTTACTCAAATTTTATATATAGCCTTGTTTAGGTATTTTCAACCAATTTCAATCACACCCACCCATTCAATCCAAACAAAAAAAAAAGTAAGAGAGAAGAAAAACGAAGTTGAAATATATTTTTTCTCTCTTAGTTTTTGCTAATCTAGCTCAAATTTTGTATATAGCCTCATTTACGTATTTTCAACTAATTTCAATCATACCCACACATTAAATCCAACCAAAAAAAAGAAGAGATAAGAAAAACAAAGTTGAAATATATTTTTTCTCTCTTAGTTTTTGCTTCTGATTTTCTCTGATGTGAGATCAACCTTACCTTTTCATCCCACTGATTTTTTTTTGCATAATTTGCAAGAAATTTTGCTAAACTATGAGAGAAAAGAGAAGAGATAGAAGAAGAAATACAGGAGAGAAAAAGAGTGGGAAGCCAAAATAAGCGTGTAGTTGTTTTTTAGAGAGAATATAAAAGAGAGTAATTTTTTAAAATTTGGCTATATAATGCCAATTATTTAGGGCTATCTTTGCCAAACCTAATATAAGACTAAAGAATTGCCAATTCCTGTTATGTGTTGTTATAGGATGCCAATTTTTCCAAAATAAACCAAAATATCGGCCCAATACCACCCTTGTCCCTGTCCAAATCAGATAGTCCATCCCACTTGGCAATCCTCACTCCCCTCTCTCTACCAATAGATGCCCGCCACATCATCTACCTCTCTTCTCACAGAACAAACACACCCGCCACATTAGCCTCTCACAAGAGAAACACAATTAACCTGAACTGTCGATCTCGACATCCGACAATCAAGATTTATCCACATATTTTTCTTTAAATTATTTCTTTTCTCCTCATTTAATCCCCGTTGTTGGATCACTGGGACCCAACAGATCTCGATTATTCTCATATTTGTTGTTTTATTTGATTCCCGAGAAAAATCATATCCGTCAATCTAAGAAGATCTAATGGCTCTTATCCGTCCAAACCAAACCCTCTTTTTTACCCTAGAGACAGACCCTAACTCTTATTTGCATGATGGACCCCCCCCCCCC